TTTTAAGCATCTGAGATGGTTCCCACTCCAAGGTCAGAGTCAGCAGCCCTTCCTGAACCAGTTTCTGCTGTGCCTTAAGGACAATGTTTATTCAGGGCTACGATGTGTTAGGCGTGCTGCAGGTCCGATGAAAAAATCGGGGGCAGCATGGAACAAGGGGATATTAATCAAATTGTCTGACAGATGTAACAGATCTGAGTCCTGCATTCACATCTCCTGGGGTGCATCTCTTAAGATTCAGGTAACAGGTCGGTCAGAGATGGACACGGAGTGAGCAAAGCAGACTGAGGCAGCTGAGGGTTTGCTGACAGCTGGAGCCTCACAAGGGGATGGGACCCACTTTTCAAAGCTGCTTCCTGAGGTGACATCATCCCAAGGGGCTCCTGTCCTCCCCTCCCACGCCACTGGTGGTCCCAGACTGAGTGGGAGTGACTGACCACTTGGCCACACAAAAGAGGTGGCACCTCTGGGCTGGGTGGACAGTCCTAGGGACTGGGGAGCTGGGGGCAGTGCTGGGGATGAGGGAGTGAGGGGCAAACTGGGGAGAGGGTCCTGCCAGTCTCCCTGCTGACTGGTGTGTGGTTACGTGGTTCTCTCTCTGGGAACCTGGGACTGAGGGTGCATTCCTGCGGACAGTTTAAGGGACAATTGACCAGAGAACTGCACCCACACCCATTTCTCTGCCACAGTGAGGGCACCCAATGGTTTGGGATGTTTTGCTTGAGCTGGAGTGGAGCACTGACTGTTCACTCTCCTCTTTTTCTGTGTGCCTGGACCACAAAGGATAGGCCAATTCATTACAGACTGTAACACCCCTTTCTTCGTCTGGTTAGGTGTACCTGGCCAGAATCACATGCCTAACCTCTTTGAATTACCCGGGCACCCTAACGCTCCTGAGGCAAATCGTTTCAGCACCCAGGACAGATCCTCCCATGTGGTGAGTGCCCCACAGATATCCATGTGAAGAGTGAATGTATGTCCCAGAACAAAGCCATGTGGCACTGTTAGTAGATGTGTGCTGAGGAGCGGAAATTGTCTCCGTACGGTAGCCTCAGGGCTCATGATCCCCTTCTGGTGAAAAGAGCTGGGGTCTGGCTATGGATCCATTGGAGGGGTGCCCCACATTTGATAACAGAGTTTCCTCCCCAAATTCAGGGTGTGCATGAGATGTAACTGCACTGGCGTGTTGGTAAACTGGGCTTCAGAAAGACAAATAAACGCTGATTTTAGCAATTGTTGATTTCCATGATGTAAACTCTACCATGGCTGTTTCCCAGATACCAGTTAGTTAAATTCTGGAACGTTCTCTAAAAGCTGGTTGTCCTCCACATCCCATTACATGTGAGTGACAGGCAGGTCCCCACCAGGGGGTCTCACAACAGACATTGGTTGGGGGAGCCAGGGGATTGTGGGTGAGCTTGTGCACCTTGCCATACAACAGAGAGCATTCTATGAATCACCCACAAAGTCACAGACAATGGGGACCTGGTGGACTCAGAGCAATTAACACTGGTGAAGAGAAACCAGCAGGGAGAGGATGAGGCAGGACCTTCATGAGAGAATGAGGACTTTGACAGATTAGGAGAGGTCCCTGGGGAGGCTCCAGCAGCTCTTGCAGCTTTTATAAAATGACTCTCCTTTGATCAGGCTGCAAAAATCAAACCTGGAGGAAGAACATGGACTGTGCTACAATTTTGTCAGGAAAATTATGCAGGAAATTAGTACTTGATTCATTCTTTGATTACTCTAAGAATCAGGGCATATTTGCCACTATAACCTAAAATCTGTTAAATATGACATAACTTATATTCCATCAAATTTAGTTTCATTCTAGATAAAACCTTTCATTCAGAAAAGGTAGATGAGACCAGGAACTCTGTGTCAATCACTAGCAGGGTAACCTTCCTGTGCCTCAGTATCATCATCTGTAAGTTGGGGCTAACAACTGTACCTATGGTATAGAGGATCAAGTGATTGAATTAGTATATGTAGCATACTGAGGTCGGTGCCTGGCCTAAAGTAAATCCCAGGTAAATATTTTTTAAATACATCCCCAAACATTTTCTGTGAAACTTTGCACCCAATTGAATTAGATTTGCCTCAAATTGCCTTTTTATCTGTTTGAATCATCCACAGGTAAGGAAGACCATGTGTCATAATATACAGTCTTTGCTGAAAAGGAAAGACATGTAGTGTCATGAGAGGGGCTGTAGGGGACCTGCCTTGAGCCCTCAGCCAGGGTGTGGGGGTGAAGAGAGACATAAAAGAGTCTCCCAAGGAGGTGATATTTTATCTGAGACTTGATAGGTGAGCTGCAGGTGACTCGGTAAGGGATTGTGGAGGAGTGGGGAAACATTGCAGGGTGAGGGAACAGCATGTGCAAAGGCCCTGAGGTGCTGGGAGCCTGGTATGGGGAGAGGCCAGTGTGGCCAGGATCAAGTAGAAACAGGGGTGAGTGGTGGGCAGTGGGACTAGTGAAGGGCAGGGAACCCCTGAAGTTTGGGTTCCATCCTAAGAGCTGTGGGCAGCTTCTGGAAGGATTGAAGCAGGGGTGTGATGGGCATCAGATTTGTGTCTTTGGATGTTCCTGGTTATAATGGATGTTCTCCTAGTCTGGACCTCTTTGTTTTCCTTCTCCTTCTCTACATAGCCTGTTTCATATCGCTAAGAACCTGGGTGGCACGGGAGACTTCTGTTTTAGGGCCTTGGTCACACCACAGGAGCAAGTCAAAAAGGATGTCAGGAAATATTCACCAAGGAACACTAGCCTGGGCGGCAGGGGTCTGAGAGTCAGGTCAGCAAGGGCGTCTCGTTCTGGGGACCGAGTCTGAGGCAGGGCTTCTCGGAGAGGGCTCAGGACGTGTCCGGAGCCACAGGGCCGATGGAGGGGCTGGTGGAGGGGCCAGAATGGGAGTACCTGGCTTTGGGAGTGTTGGTGGGCACGCCCCAGGTGCCTGGGAAGTTCAGATTCCGCCAGGGCTGCAGGTGGGGAACTGGGAGACACAGGCGCGTCTCTGCAAGTAACTTCAGTGCTTACTGTTTGCACCCCTGCAAAAATATTTAATTATTAAAATTCCTTGAGGGGATAAACCCAGGCCTCTCTGTTTCATCTGTGCTTATTGTGGGATGAATTAACTATTTCTCAAGTAACACAGTAGCATTTGGAGTGAGAAAAATAGAGAATTATATTAAAAAGGTGAAGCAGTGAAATTCTGTCACAGGGACGTTTATGAATAATCAAGGGAGCAACACACAGCTGTATTTCAATGATACTCTCTTCCTCAGCCGTCACTTGGCCCTGCATGGCACAGGCAAGACCATTTTCTAGCACGAAGAGCCTCTTAATTAAACTTTATTTGTCAAGAAGGTGAGATGTATTTGTGTTTCCTCAGGCTCTCATTGTTACAAACTTTGCAATGTTTTCTCTGAAAAATGCCCCTTTTCTGCTCAAAAGAGCTGGGTGGTTGGTTTTTTCCTCTTCCATTGTGAGGAGGAAATGCTACACATTCTTTGTCAGGTAATCAATTATCGTCCTTAAAGGATCCCTGAGTCATCATCTGGAAATTACGGCTCCTGGAAAATAATAAAGGACCCGCTTCAACATGCTGCTGCATGTCGGAGCAAATTTCCCTCCCCTCAGTCACAGAGCCCGTCCATTGCCCATGTTAATGACCTCTGGCTCCAAAAACAGTCACTTCTGCCTGTCACTTCTGGGGTTTTGCTGTTGACACCGTGTCAGCTCCTCACAAGCCCCGTAATGATGCTCCAATTAGTAATGCTTCCTTCCCTTCCCTCCTTCTCACTCTGATTGCTCTAATTTATGTGCCTCGACAATACTCCCACTATGCACGTCATCTGTTCCTCTGTGTGGAGTAGGAAGGTCTTAAGGTCAAGGTGCCTGGCAGGTAAACAACAAGTGAAACAATTTCAAGTTCATGGACATCTTCTGCAGTCAGCATCAACTACCCCATCAAGGAAACGAGACCTTGATATTTTGGTGAGTAGCAGATAATTGATGAGCTTGTCAGCATAATCTATGGTCCCCGATCTGTATAAGTATGAAATAAGAGAACATTTAAAAGGTGTCAGGAAAACACAGTATCCCTCCCTCCTTCTGTCGTTTGACAGTGACTCATTCATGTATGAAATTGACTCTTTGTGATGGTGAACTATTAAATACCCTGTATAGTCAAATTACTACCATGGAACCAGAGAGTGGAAACAGGTGACTAAATATCCTCTGGTTTGCTCTCCTTCCAACAGGAGAAGAGAACAAACAGAGGGCTTTGATGCGGATGTGAATCCATGTCCAGGTGTTCATGAGAACCAGCATAGACTGCGAAAGAGAAGGCAGGGCCGATATTCCAGACAATCCAGGTTAAAAAGGCACTTTTTGGAAGCATCATACCCAGGCACAGCTTGTAGATCCCGCCGTAGTTTTTGCATCCTGTCTTGTGAATGAACCCCAAGATCCATGCCAACACTTAGTGGAAAAAGCATCATTGAAATTCCTTGAGCCAAAGAGCATGTGTTCATGCCCCACCCCTGCTATCACTGTGGGCTGGGCAGACCATCTGCCCTCCCTGGGTCTCAGTTTCCTCATCTATAAACTACACACTCCTTTTGACGTTCTTCGGTGTTGCCCAGTGCAATATAAAAGAGATGGAAATGAGAGAACCTGCTTCTGCTGGTGTTCCAAGAAGAGAGTCTTGATCTCAGAATGTCCATATGTATCCTGGGGAGAATGAAGCCTTGAATTCAAAAATGAGTTGGGTAGGAATCACAGTCTTTAATGGAACATCAAATTTTTAACTGCCCAAAAATTCCAAAGAAAGGACTCTGAATTATGTATGGAACCTTTATGGTTTTTTTTGCAATTGCATTACTCATTTGTTCGTGGGACACTTGGCTGAGCCATTGTAATTCACAGCTCATTGGCTAAGTGCAGACACCAATAGCCAGGTATTTTCTTCCTCTCAAACAGAACCCCTATTTTGCTCAGATGTTGGGAAGAAATGTGCTCTCAAGCACCAGAGGATGAATTGTAATATGTCTAAGCCAATCTCATTTCCCTGTCCAGTGATTGGTTTGGGGGGACATCCTGAATCATGTTTAGCTGATGAGATGTAAGTTGGGAGTCTTTTTGGTGGGTGGGTTCTGGGTTCCCTTACTTAAAGAGACATGTGAGAAGTAACTCTCTCTTTCATATTTTCTTTGCTATTGTTATGAGGGAGAGGATGAGAAGTCAAGCAATGTTGCAGCCACCTTGTATGAGGGCACAAGCTGAGGACACAGTCAGTTCACCGAGGCAGAGAAAGCAGAAACGGGAGACCACCATGTCCTTGCTGTTGTGGAGGTGACCAACAGTAGCTGGCCTCTATGGGGTCTAAACCTGCCCCTGTAGGTGCAAACATTTTCATTCTGAGAAGGACTACCTCTCTCCAAATTCACATCCCCATTAGCAGGAGCCAACAGGTTATCTAGGAGCACCTTGGCCTCCAGATAAGACCACCCCTTTCCTGGCCCACACCTCCACTGACAAAAGCCAGTAGGAAGACCCACAACTCTGTGTGACCCTAGAAATATCTCTACTCTCTTTTCCCTAAATACACAAGCTCACCCCATATTCTATCCTGAGACCTTCAGAATTAATCGCGTGATACTTTCTATTCCCATTAAAGCTGGTTTCTGCATGCAGCCAGGACTCCTGGGGCATCCTTTGTCCCCTGGACTCCCGTTGTCACGTGACTCAGTGGGAAATGAGGCTGAAACCCTACTTCTCTGCTTTGTTTTTCTCCACTGCCTCATTCCTATCTGCCTCACAGTCTTCTCCAGTGACCAGGATGAGGGAACTTTGGTCCAGGGCTCCTAAAGAAGAGCCTGAGGCCAACCTGGAGATCTAATGCTTTAGTGGGAGGTGCAGCCCCAGGACATCAAGAGCGAGAAAGAGGTAAGTGAGGTGTGGGAGACTGAGCAGCAATCACCGAGCTGGTGGCTGCCTCACAGAGACGCGGCCAGTCACCTTATCCCGTGGACTCTCTCCAGGCCAGCTGTGCAGAGATCTGCTCCTCAAGGGAGTCCAGAAGAAGGCAAGGAGAGGCCAGTCACTGCCGGTCTCTCTTCTCCCCTGTCCCTGGGTGGTCAGAGTTCCGTCTCCAGGGCCGTACTGTGCCCATCACCGCGGCTTCCTTTGCCTGGCTCCTCCCACAGTGGTTGAGGAAGCCAGATCCCGCACTTGTTATGGCCCCTTATCTGAGTCCAGAATTGGTGGAAGGATCAAGAAACTTGGGGTGCTGGTCTCAGACAATGTGTGGTGTAAGCCCTGAAATGAAGGCGCCCTATTAAGTACTGCCTGGACACCTTGGAGCTTCATGGGGCCTCAGAGGCCTAACCATGAGTCCCCTGCGCTATCAGATATGCCCTCCACCCAGTGGGAAATCTTTCCACCTGGCTGTTCCCCTATCAGAGGCTATTTCCTCTACCTGATCTTCAACCTGACCGTTTTCACTTTCCCACAAGCCTGTGGAATTATCCAAACAAGACAGTCACATCATCCCCTGGGACCTAGGGGCCACCTCATCCTTTCGTTACTACCAAGCCTGCCTACCACTCCCCCTGATGGCTCATTCTGTTCCCTAGTGCAGCCCCCATGTGTATCTGCATGAGGTGAAGTGTCTGACACCCCGGGCTTTGAGTATATGTGACTAATAAACCACTGTCAATCTCAGCTGCCCAGTGTCAGGTATCATGTGTTTAGCCATTTTGTACTGTTTTTGGGGGGATCCCTCCCTTGCTGGTGGGGTGCATAGGATGTGATCAGAACTCAATGGAATCCTGTGGACTTACAGGGAGTCAGTGTCTGCAGTGGGAGACAGGTGAAGTAAAAACATCTGATGACACGTAACATGCGTCTGGTAACACATCCCTTACAGTTTACATTGTTGTTTGCCAATTTCCCTCTACTAAAAAATATGCTCTTAAGGGCAGACATTTGGGCTCTATTTTTCATGACTGCATCTCAAGCACTTGCACGATTTCTAGCACACAACAGACTTTCAATAAATCTGTGGGATGAATAAATGAACAAACTAATGCAGTTACAAAGCGACCTTGGCTAGGGAAGAATGAGAACATGATTCTTGATGTTAGACTTTGCAGGAAAAGTTACCGGAATTTCATGTCTTTATTACGGCCTTGGGGAAGGCAATGTGGAGGCAGAACCTTCAGGTCTTCACTGAACTGCAGCCTCTCACCCTCCTCCGCGTGTTGCCCCCCCCTTGTTGGGGTGGAGTGGACAGGTGCACGGGGACAGTCTCTCCCCCTTCTCCCTCCCCATCTTCCTTCCTCCCACCCTCCGCACTTAGCCTGGGGAGAGGCTGTCACAGCCGCTGCCTCTGAGCCAGCACTTGAGCACATCCCATTTCTCCCCTCAATCCCAGGCCGATGTTTTCAAGTAGGAATGAGTACACACAACCTTACCTTGTCACTATTGATGCATTTTCCCAGCTGTGTGCAGCTTTGGGAGTTGTGAGATTTGCTCTGCTGGGTGATGGGGTGCAGGGATGTCTCAAGAAACCCAAGGCCAGGGGGCACGGCCAGGCCACTCTGAGTGAAGTTCTCCCAGAGGATGGAGATGCAAGCCCAGGATCACATGTCCCCACGGTACCTCCTGGGCTGACCATCGAGGACGGGTAAGGGTTTCCTGAGGACCTGAGGAGAGGGTGGCCATAGAGGCTGGCGCTGCACACAGCTGGGGCACCACCACGCCCTCCCTGGGGGAAGGAGCCCCTGGAGGGTGAGGGCACAGTCGGCCTGATCACATTGACCGGCTTGTGCTGTTCTTCAGGGACTGGGGGAGGCCCTGCCACCGTGCCACTCAGCACAGAGCCTGATGGGCTGAAGGTAGAGGCTGCTGTGGGGGAAATGGCAACCTGACAAATGACACGAGACGTGCATGCTGACTGTGTCTGCACAGGGCAAATGTCGCTCGCTCCTGAGCTGATCTCATTATGGGCAGTTTAAGGGACGGTCGGCAGTGAGCCAGAGAGCCCAGCTGGGCACCTGCAGGCGGTGTTTCCATGACACCCACTGTGCCGACCCCTCCAGTCCTTGAGCACGGTGCTGGAGCCGCAGGGGGGACAGAAAGTGGAGGTGACTTGATTGGAGGCATTTGTACCCATTAGCCTCAACTTCTGGTTGCTACACTCAGAAACTGTAGCTTTTTTCTTTTCTAAATGAAAAATCATTTTTATTATGAAAGTAATGAATATTCATTGTAAAAATAAACAGTCCCACGAGAACAGCCCTGCAATAATTCAGTAGGAATCCAGCATCCTGAGAGCTGCGTTTTCCATTAAGATCCGCCATGTGTCTCCTGCCCCACCTGCCTGTAGAGAGAAGCTGAGTCATTAGTTCAGCACTCAAGGCTCACTGTGGTCCCATCCCAAGTGCCACATAGGGGACAGGGGTTGTTTCTGGCTACCCATGACCTACTTCCGCTGCCAGCCTTCCTTTTGGGAATCACCTCTCCCCCGTGGGGAAACGTTGGGGACAATTCGTGGTGACACCTCCTGCCAGGAGAGCTGAGGGGGAGTCCCTCCTTCTGTCCCCCTGCTTTCCTGAGGGTGGGTACTGCTCTAAGGTTGGTCTGTCACACATTCTTTCATGGATTTTGTTTTGAACAAATGAAGGAAAGCAGGGGGCATGGAGGGAGGTCCCTTCTCCCGGGGCAGCATCCTGATCAGCCAGTCCAGTGTGACATGCTGTCTCTTGGCCCCACGGATTCCTGCGGTTCCTGCCCGATCCTCCCCATCTCATCCAGTCTGTGGGGCTTGAGGAAGCCCACTGTGCCCAAGTCAGTGTCTGTGCCCAGGAGGGTGTCTGTCACTCTCTGACAAGAGTTTTGGTTGCACTGTGGCCGCCTGGCCATCTGTTGAGGATACCCCCCTCCCCTCAGCCCACCCTCCTGCTGCCAGAAGAAATGGTTACCCTCTGTGTCAACTCTTAGCAGATCTGTCCTTTGAAACTCTGCAATCCTTAGTTGGGGGAGAAAAACTCACCACCTTTGTAGAAGGTGGTCTCTTTCAGGAGACGCCCAGGGCTTATGCTCTCTGCAGAGATTCTCCTTTCATGGTAGGAGCTGATACATGATATTTGTCAGAGGCTATTAATTTTGCTTTTGTGGGAAAAGCAGCACACAGACCAACCTCCAGAAGGATTTTGCTTTCACAAGCCAATCAAATTGTATTTGATTTAAGCAAGAGTTTTCAAATGCAATGTGCCTGGCCAACCCTTAATAATGTAAGAATTTAGTCAGGACTCTGGGTAGTAAATAAAGAATCTCAATTCAAATCTGCTTAAACAAACAAAAAACAAGAAGAATATAAAGGCTCACATAACCGAAGGGTTCAGAGGCAACTGACTTCAGGTATTGCTGTATCCAGGTGCTTAAAAAATGTCATCAGGACCTTTCTCTGCACCTTTCAAGTCTAACTTTCTTGGGTGCTGGTTTCATTTGCAGGCAGAAGCCCAGGCTTACCTTCTCCCAGCCCTGCTGACCCAGTGGAAAGGGAGCCCCTTTTCCATTTGTTCCAACAACCCTTTGATTGAGTTTTGTTTGGACACATATTCTCATGTGTTCCTCCTTGAATCAATTGCAATGGCCAAGAGAAGCAGACCCCAATGGACCAGGCCTGGTCATGTCCATCCAGACCCCAGAGATGGAGAGTTGGAGAGGGGTGGCTTTTCCAAAGCTGGAATCAGGACCCAGGAGCTGTGACAGGTATTGGTGAGCAAACCCAGCATGTCCCCAGCCTTGTTATTCATGGGATGTGTGACGTGGTGCCCCTTCTGGTCTGGAGGACTCAGCGCTCATCCCCTACTTGCTCGTGGAGAATGCGGTATTGGGGGAGCATGACTCCTAATCAGACTCCCTGCAAGTACCCCTTCTCTGAGTGCCCCCTGATGGGCAGATCTTTGCCCTTCATGCCATGGCACCCTCTTCCTGACTATTTCCAGGGATAACACTTTAGAGTCTTTGAGACCCACGTGAGGGTGACTTTAGTGTGGCTGAAATGAAGACCAGCTGGGGGGCTGGGTCAGCTCTGCAGAAGTGTGGCTCCTGCGCTGCTTTCACGGAGCTCAGAGATGAAATACACAGGCTCTGGAGTCAGAGCACATGGGCTCGGGTCTCAGCTCTGCCACGTGCAGCTCTGCCATCTCCACTAAGTTCTTCAGGGTCTACCTTAGTTTCTTCATCTGTAAAACGGGTCTGATAATAATATTGACCTCAAAGTGTGGGTGGTTGTGAGGATTAATGAGCTACTGTATGTGCCCTGCAGCACACATAAGTGCTCAATGAATGTCATCTGTCACTAACACTATCTGATCACATATTTCCCCCTGAGAATAGTTAAGATTTATGTCCATTTCAATCATCAGGAACTTGTGACAGACAGTGTTTAGTACCTCTAACAAACATCCCCATTTATGCTGTCTCTAAATCACCAGTGTTAGGAATAAAGGAGAAAAGGAAGATTACCTAAGATGATGGCTTTTAATGCCTCCCTCAGAGGCCTGATGGTATCACCAGAATCACCAGCTGCCTAGTGTGCTGTGAAGGCCTGTATGGTGGTGTCCCTGCCAAGTGCAGGGAAAGAAGAAAATGTATGTGCCAGGTGTAGCGTGAGGTGTCCTACCCGTACATTTCCTTTACTATTGTGTCAACCTATGTGGTAGGTATTGCACCCATTTTATGGATGAGGAGACTAAAGTCTGGATGAGTTAAATAATTTGCCGAAAGTCACACAGAAACTGTCAGAGCTGGGATTTGAACCCATGGCAGTCTGATTCCAAAGCTCATGTAGTTTTAACTCTATATCACTTGTTCTTTAGAGCTGGGATTTGAACCCATGGCAGTCTGATTCCAAAGCTCATGTAGTTTTAACTCTACATCACTTGTTCTTTAGAGGAACAAGAGAGAAGCCCAGGGTACCATTCATCTCTCTGGTGCATAATGGGCCACTGGGTGATCAAGTAGTGTCCACATTTTTATTAAGAAACTCATATAAAAATAATATTTCTAAAATATTCATTATTTTTAATCAGTAGCTTACAATAATTGGGAGCATTTTTGGTGAGTAGGGAATGTGAATCGACTTTCCATGGTTCAAGGAGAGCTGGGGGTTAGACATGAAGCCTGCAGACATGAGCATGTACCTCCCTGGCCGACTCTGGGGAAGAGCTGCAGCCAGACATAGAGTGGCCCTGACCCCACAGAGGATCCGGTCAGGGAGGGGCGGGTCTGTCACCTGAGAGCAAAGGCCCTTGGCTTTGTCTCCCAGACCTTATTTTGGGAGGTGGCATTTCCCACCTGAAACCCCCCCTGCTGGGTGTGCCGTGCCCATGTCACTAGACCATCACCTCACAGGCACAGAGTAGGACATGTTGAAGTGTGTTCATGCACATCTGGTTCGATGTGCTGTGTTGTTCTTTCAATTTGCAGAGAATTCATTGCTGGGACCAGCCAGCCCTGGGTCCGAGCTTCTCACGGAAGATTGGAATGTGCCTTCAAGTCAATGAGGAAACCAGCCCCCATCCCACCAGGGGTCATCTGTACCCAGCTGCCCCGTCTCACAAGGTCCAGTGCTCACCTGGAGAACTGACCCGTTGCTCTGTCCCAG